GGCTTCCAATTAAATGGATCAGCGTAGATTTATTTCACTATTCACTGCTATCATTGCAGAATGGCCTAACCAGTTCTTAGATCATCTGATATAAGTGGTAATGTCTTTTCAGCAAGTAAGCTCCACTCCTGTAAATCTGGGATTTTTGGTCAGTGAAGTATTTGAACACGTGTTTGGATTTCCCGTTGCATGTCCCTACTAGGAATGTTCTTAACAAACGAGTTGGGCACTGCATCTTTGTGCAGGAACAGTCGTAATATGAGACGACAGCTTTAGACTGCGCTTACAAACATCGAGCTTCGATGCTTGAGGGGTGTGCGAGTGGATTTTTTTATCTTTAAGGTGACAATGTGTTAACGAAGTTCACAAGACATCCCGGTCGGATGTGCGCTACCAATATTGATGCACAACCAAGTTACTTACATTATGAAACTGGTCCAATGATCTAGTTATCATGTTTAGTTCGGTGGAAATGTTTGTACTACACGAACAATGTCTTTTAGACGTTGGCGATTATACACTAAATAGGTCGAAGGTCTTGTGCACGTTTAAGTCATTCTACAGGTTTAGAGTATCTTGTGGTTTTCTTTATATCGTTATATCACTTGTACATTCTCAGTCTTGAGTCATGGACTGTTTAGTTTCTTGTTAATTACCTCCTGATCATGCAGTTAATCCCGAACTGGTCACCTTAGTGGTGGTTTCTGGGTATCACTTAGATAAGATGAAAGGCTTTATTGTAGTTCATGGGTATAGAGTAAAAAAATATTGGAAATGTTCGTCATGATAACCAGTATTTAATCGACTGCCCGAAGGCTGTTCTTGATCCTTTAGATTTTATGCTGTACTTAAATGAACTTCTGGGTATCGTTAAGTTTCAAGTGCTGTGGACGTCAAAGTTTGACGAGAACTAACGTAGGACACTTGTGTTTCCCAGGTCGGCTTAGACGTTATATTTAGCTGGTCTAAATATTTTCACGTGCTCAATGAATACATAAAGATAAACAGCTACTGCATTTATAATGCGTTAATGCCCTTAATTTTTTCACAATGGTTTAAGGGTTATGGTGAGCCACGATCATAAGACCACAGTCCACTGCCATGTGATTGCAGCCAACAATCCTATGGACTTTAGGATAGACACTCACTAAGTTGGATACAAGCATGTTATAAATGTGAAACCTGCGCTCAAGCCCCTGTTCAAAATGTGACTCAGATATTGTTGAGCAATTTTGAAGCATGAAATACTTATAAATGATGTCGAGTCTGATATATCCTCTCTCCCTCTTATCAAACTAGAACAACGCAGAATAGCAGGCGAGTTTGAAAGCCATGAACGAACCGAATACTCATGGTTGGAAACATAATCGATGTTTCTAGACATCAGTTATTGTGTTGATGATTTGTTCATAAGTGTCCAACTAGAATCTGATTCACCATTGTAGTTGGGGGTTGTGAAACTAATTGATCAACTAACCATCGGCTGGTTAAAGAAATGTCAACTTTCCTCTTCATGATGGATCTGCAGATCCAGACATATGAGGAAATCATGATTTCCTCATGTCGATCATTTTAATCATGTAATTGTAGCATCACTGAATAATGAATCAATTAGTTTAAACCAATATATGGCAGTCTTTGTCCGTTTAGTAGGATGAATACTGCAGTTTACATTAGCAATATTCGTTCTAAACACTTAAGACTGATGTATGGATACCTTTAGGAATCTACATTAGAAAGCACGTTCCAACTAGTGGCGCACCAATGACTAGTATTTGTAGTTGTATAACACACTAGTTAACTCACATCACGAAGCACTAGAGCCGTTAGTAAAACTGCTTATTTGGAAGGAGTGAATCCATAATTAACCAACGTATATGAATCTAGATCTCAGCGATCAGCTGCTTTTTCTCTTGAATCCTGTGTATAAGGAGTGAACTGATAACATCTCTTCTTAAAAATAACAAACTACGGTATCTCTATATGATTATGATTCTAATACGAAAGACCAAATGAAATTCCAAAAGTGCAGCGAGATAATAATTATGACGATATGCAACTCATCATTTATCTTATACTTTGCGTGCTCGGACAAGTGTCACATCTTAAATGGGGATTAGTACCAGTATTCATTTTAGTTAGATGTTTCTAGGCTCTAAACTGTAGGTAAGTGCTCCAATCATTAGGTCTTCTGACATGATCCTCCCTATTTTATGATTCCACAACAAACACCTGCTTTTTGTGTAGAGTGCCCCACCAACCAAACTATAAGGCAGTCGATCAATGAAAACGGAATTTTGCAACTCATCCAGAAAAGCATCAGTTCGATATTATGAGGTGGCAAGAGCGGTATTTATTTTTTAGTTCTGAAAAGCGAATGTACAATTTATGATAAAAACCCGTATAAATCAAAACCTCGTGAAGAATTGTACGTAAACCTGATTAGTTCAGCTCTTCATCTTGGCCCTTTAAACTATCACTGTACGTACTGAAGTAATTTATTCTGAACTCGTAATTACACGACTGTGTACGTTGTCCCAAATTACCATTTCTTTACTCAACTGAGAATACCTCCCCCAAGCCAATCCGTAAACATTCAACTGAAGTTTTTAACGTCAAATACAGTTAGTAGGTAAAATAATATACGTTATAGCCAACGATGCCCTTGAAAACTCAGGTGTGTATTACGGGAAGTGCGATTGTGTTCTTCATATATCAGCCATAACGCTAGTTTACAAGACGAAGGTTTCATTTGTTGCTCCGTAGTTTAGATCTCCATCTTTAATAAATCACTTTGCATATAGGGTTGGTAATATCGCACTCAAGTTAAGAATTTTTTACACAAATGAAAGCTCTAATACACTTAATTCAAGTATTGTGTTGATGTTTTTGTAATAACAATATCAACAAAGCGTCTTGCCATAGTAGATGCATGTTAGGTTGGTGATAAGCACTAGTGGGAATTGCATTTCCTAGTGTCACGCTCATCGGGGTCCAACACTTTACAGCAACTGGATATCCTTTATTTGGAACTAGAACTTCATGAAACAACTAATCACAATCACAAACAGCAAGAAACTCCGTAACCTATGTGCTATATAAGAATGACTATCTTAGGTCATTAATATATGGTACGACTAGAACTGGATTGATTCCTTCTTTCGAATGAAGGGATTTTCTGGTACTATGAATTTATTGCGTATTACTATAAACTAGTTATGTCCTATATCTTCACAAAACGTAGTCTAGAAGACGCAATTGTTCCGTCTTAAAGTATCTTAAATAGGTGTCATTCCTGATTTAAACACACCTTAAGGGACACATAGTACGATCCAATAGTACATTCCTCCTAAATGTAGTTCTAAAGGTATTTAATTATACAAATATCAGAATTTATCGGAAAATTAAACTATACAAAAGCCTATCAATTATAGATACTGGTACTACTATAGCTATAGTTGACGTGATATTAAATAGAAAGGAAAATAATGACAAGCGTGATAAGACTGCACGACCCCATCCTTATTCGTAATTATTTATCGAGGTTTAACGACCGAATGTTTGCTTATAAGATTATTTAGAAGAATAGACAAATTTGTAGTCTTCCATAGAATTATAAACCCCAGCACATCTGCAAACATCGATTTACTTGGGTCACTGGGTAAAAACTTTTACGTTTTGCAGAGAAACCAACCAGAGTTAGCTTATCAAAGGACAGGTAGATTTCAACAACGTAGAGCCTGGCAAAGGCAAGTATGTAGATGAGCAGTTATATTAGAGGAGATAAAATAACAAAAGAGATTGATAAGGAATAGTAACAATTACTGAGAAATTAAACCTCGAGAGTAAGGTTTGCAAAGATAGTTCGAAAATAGGCACTGCTCAATCAAAGGGACAGAAATGCATTCTGAAAATACTAGTACTGTTGCTCAAAAACATCAAACAACTGTAGATGAAGTCAGTCAGCTACAACGTTGGACCAGGCATATATATGCCACACCTCATCAGCACAAGATGAACACTAAATTCATAGTAGTCATATCAATTGTAGTGTATAAGGATATAGTACAGGAAGGAAGAACCAGTTCTTAAAAAGAATGGTATAAAGGAATTTAATTATCACGGTGTAATGGAAGACAGAGGGCATAAACACACGCCATTGTGAAAGATTCTGAGTCATATCACCCAGAGTTTCCAACCACTGATTTCGAGTCACACGGACCACAACCAAGTACTGTGCATCTACCAAAATGTCTAAGAATACAGGTTAGTGAATCTAGGGACTGATGCCACATTTTGATTTGGCCGCTCCTAACATTCTCCCAGCGTCTCCAATACTAGTCAGCATTGCGCGTTGTGGAAAGGTGTTCAGATACACGTAACCAACCATCTTAGTCGATTTATAACCTCATCGACGGAGTTACCATCATCCACTAATACCGTGCGTCTAACCTCACTATCACTTTCCCAGTGATCCCGGCAGATGCGAGCAATATTTCTAAGACATTTGTGATTAAATACTAGTAACTCGCAGCCGTGAACTACAACAGAACGAACTGTCTCTATTTAAATTAGACATAACTACATGTTATAAATCGATGATAAATCTAGAAAATTAGTGCGATGCCATCTCAAAGACGTTAATGGTGAATTAAACGCAAAAAGGAGTTATAACACAATTTCACTATTTTGTGGATTTCCCCGAAGTCTTGGGTTGGAGAAAAACCTCATAGTTATAAGATTCTGTGGAAATATTGGGGAAAACACTAAATATCCTCAAACGAATCATAATTTTTTTTAAAAAAATGGACACAAAGTTTGGGGGATTACTATGAACTGACGACAGACTAAATAGCATAAGAAAATCGAATAATGAACCTTTTGTCGACATAAGCGTTATTCGATTAAACCTTGATTACATCATACGACTATGCACATTAGGAGCAAATCATTTAATACTGTATATTTTCGCAACGTATGTACATTGTAATTGGCATGATTCACTCATCCACCTTCATCTTCTTCGATTTCGGTTGACCGTCCTCTGACTTTAATCCCCGCTTAATCGCCGATAATCTCGGGTTAAACTAAATAAAAGCGTTAGTGAGGTAAGTTGAACTTACAGTTCCAGCTTCCAACTGTCGAAGTCTCTTTTCCAAGTATGCTCTTGCTCGTATCCCCATTTCTGTGTCAACACCCTCTTCACCAAGAGCGTCAAGACGCGCTGATAATGATGCTTTTGCAGCTAACATTCGCGACATTTTACCCTTGAATTGATTGTCTGATTGTGTTACTAATGTGGCATGATACAACAGACCGTATTTTGGAGTGTTATGTCGTGTTTTTAATGCTCGGAATAATGCCTTCTCAGCGCCTAGTATCTGTACTGTTGAAGCAGGATGTTTAGCTAGGTTAACAAGTGTTCCTGCCCGAGCTATGAGCCTTGCACCCAAAAGTTTAGAAAATCAGGTTAGTTACTTATCTGTTCTTCGAGCACAATCAAGTAGTTTAGGATATTAATTACAGAATGTTGCATCTCTTTGGGTGAGAAATTTCATTTTAGAACTTTATATAGTACAGCTGTATAGGGAAAGCGAAATGTCACTAGGCTCTGGTCAAACTATCCAGTAGGCCGGCCACTGAATGCCGAACAATTTATCAATTCTTACCAAGTCAAAGATAGCTTTGCTATGAATAGGTGCATGTGACAGTGGTCACACGCTGATATTTGAACGTTTCCTTACTGATTTGCTTCTGTAATAACTTAACGTTTGTACCATGAAGTCATCAGAAATGTCAAAGTACTTATGTACAACGACAGGATAGGTCTACAATCTGCTGGCGTGTAGGCGATAATAAAGACATGGTTTCTCTCAGTGATTTGTATTCAATATGATGGAGCACTGTAATTAAATAGCAAATATCCGACATTTATGAGTGAATCAGCGAAATTCTGATAGCTGTGTACCAGTGAATAAAGTTACACCTCCGCAAACAAGCGTAAATGAAGATGCCACAGCATATCTAAATAAACTTGAGAGAAATAAAACTGCTAATTAACCGACATAGAACCACATGACACTTACTCACAGGTATCCGAGGTTCACCAAGGATGCACAATGGTTTTCATGGAAACGACGCTCTTACATATGAAGGGGGTTGATGCCAGAATACGTGCGGTTATTTGTCTGGCAGCTATCTAAAATAATTTTTGTAAGCTAATATGAAAGCTTGTCTACGGGAACTAGTTCCAGTGTTAACTAATGGCAGCAGCTGCTTGTCGTATACAAACGAAACAAAGAAGAATTTTCATTATCTCGTGATTATTGATACAGGGGTTAGCGCCCATTTCGTAGCTTACTGAAAAGGCACATTGGATTAGACATGGGATTACGAATCCCACATACTACGATTTCATCACAAAGAAGTTTTAGAACTTGATTTTATTAACTGTAATCCACTGTTGCGGTGACAAGTTAGTAAATTTACTAAAAACGGTTAGGTTCCACCTCAGCAAATCAAAAATCCTACTAAATAGTTTTCAAATTTTTCGGCGCAATTTGTCAGTTTTCTATGTGAATTGACAAACAAGGTTTCCGGAAACAAACTAACAGTTGATAACAGTTCTTACATGTGAGGATGGCTCATAGGTAGACTAGGAGAAGCTCAAAAAAGCTCAGAAAGAGCCGAATATATTCCATCCAATAATCTTTAGAAAGAATGTTCCACAATTTATACGTGTGCTTCCCTATCGGACAAATGTTAAAACCTCTTGTATTCGGACTGTATGACTATAATACTAATTTCGTACTTACTAAAAGGCTATAAATATCTGATAGTTTTGTATCATATTAGACACTGTTTTGAAATGGTATTTCTTTCACTTGTCTTCTGTCTTCACATTTGCGACTTAGAGGGTTCTAGTGTTCGAGTGCTCAAGTCATACTTGGTATATTAAGAATTTAAACTCTAGATAAAACAACTAGCGACGGGATTAACTTATTAAAATGTCACTGACATTTGACCAAGTTGAAGCTTTGCTGGAACGTCAAGAAAAATGTCAGAGTACTGCTACGCAAACTTGGCACAGCTGAACATGAAAGCTACTACAACTTCATTATCATCAAGAATCCTAGAGATCTTGATTGCGACAGCTGTAATTTTGTCGCAACTTTTTGGTGGACAGTCATCTTTGTTTAATATTCGTTAGCAACGTCTTAAGTTGACGAAAGCTAGAGACTAGGTACATGCCGGCGTGTGTGAGTGTTTCAGATTATCATCAATGATAGAAGAACAGTTCAAATGTCTTGTTTTTGCATTCAGCCTGCAGACACCTGAAGATGTCGACACCAGAATCACAATTCTGCGTAAAATTGAACAGTATCCAAATGACGCTACAAGAAGTGACTAGTGAATGTCAGAGGTTGGTGAACTAAAAACACGACACTTCTATAGTTTAAAACAGTGACCGGCCACCGTATGTACAGGTAATAAATAGCCAGAAAGATTCTTTTGTACGTAAGCAGGACAGCTCAAACAAACAGCCTCCATCCTCCTGCTGGTTATGAGGTGAGCGGCACTACAAGATGTTTTACCCATCTAAAACTACCGTTGTACTGAATGTTAGTATAAAGTACATATGGAATTTCTTTGTAAAAAGATGTATCGTCACCCACTGCGATTTCCTTCCAGGAGAGATAAACCTAATGTATCGACCAAAATAATAATAATAATTTATTCTCAAATAACAGTTTGTTACATGAGGCATGCCAGTTTACAGGCAAGATCAAATTGTTACAAATGATACAATATCCACGGTAGTAAATTTCTTAGCTGGGTTGATAATATATAAGATATGAATGTAGATGGTTTTAGTCAGTATCACAGTTAGGGCGTCATGAAAGTTGCGTTGCGAATGTGCAACTGATAGGTCCATTGAAGGTGGGAGCTTCTAAAAGTCGCAAACTTATGTCCCTTTGGAATGTCTAAGGCTTTGAGGATGATGCAGGATGAAATCTTTCGTTCTATATCACAAGGGGGCTGAAAGAGGGAGCAAGTTAAAGAAAGGACGAGAGGCAGAGTAGCCAATATTCATGAAGGAATGTTTAAGGTATGATCACTCAGTCTAATTTTCTTTTATTAAGGTATTTGTTAAGAAAAAGCATTTTAATAGGTTAAAGAAGATAAGTTTTAACAGGGCATGAGTGGACATACAACTGACAAATCGGGGCGATTCAGAAAGGAGCTGAATATGGAATTGTGTGGTTATGAATTAAAATATAGTGCTAGAAACAGTATTGTGATATACAATTGGCTATCTTCCTTTTTTATCGAAGCCATCAGAGCCCCTTTCATTTTTTTGTATTATTTTTGTCAGGTACCATATAGGGTCTTGATTAGGCTTCGTATATCAGCGAATTGTCTAGTTTGCTTGTAATAGGATTACTGGGTAGCAAGTGAAACCAATTCAACGTTCGTAACACGATTTAATGAGGTATTTTGCATGGTAAATCAGCATTAAAACCTTATGTTCGTGACATCCCACTAAACCATAAGGACCCGTAATTAAACAAATTGTTCTGCCCTACAAACATGGGTGGATTGAAGTTATCTCCCCACCATCATGTTTGCTGGTCAGTAACGCCACCCTCCTTCGTTTTGTGATGTTGGGCTCTTACGTTTGTGGTAATTATGAATACTGCTTTAATCAAAGCCCATGGTTGGAATACACTGTCTCTACCAGGTCCATGTTACAAGCAAATCAGATAGTTAAAATGTTTGTTTTATGGGTTAGATGTCCACATAGTATATCACACTGCTATGAAGATAACTAATGGTTTAAAGAAGTAAGGACTAATAGCAAATCAAAAAATATGAGAGGGTATAAAATTGTAGAAAAAGAATTTCAGGGTAAGAAAAATAAAACATTGAGAAACTCACAAGACTTTGTGGCCGAATTTTGAGCGTTGTATGGTCGGCCTTAGTAGATCGGCATCCATAAGATTAGTGAGTTATCTGTCTACTTGCAGTAGAAAAAAAAGCATGACTATTAGGAAGAATAGTGTACATTTAGCCTGTAGAGATTTGGGAACTGGAAGTGAGGATTAGGAGCATAAGGCCATGATTAATAAACAATGAATAATAGGAAAGGATAAGCCATGTATTCTGTGATTTGGTTATATTCATATTAACAACAGTCGGGCTTGTTATATTCTTGTTCTGTCTAGATACTAGGCGATCCGTAAGAAAGTGCCTCATTGGTGGGCGGGAGTTCAAGGAAATGTTGAAGCTCTTTAGAGTGGTAGTACATACGTGACCAAGCCATAGTCAACGAAAATATGCAACTATCGAGGTTGACGGTCACCGTGCCCACCTGCATCTCGACACCACAGTTATTAGCCGAAAAACCTGGAAACATATTAGGAAACCCCAGATGCTGCCAACAACCCAGTTAACTGATAGTGCATTCGGAGCGAAATTTAATATTGTTGGAGAGGTATGCTGTACAGTTTCAAAAGGAAATGCAAAAATAAATGCAACACTAAATCTCACAGAGACTCTGGGACTAGATTTGCCGGGTCTAGACCTAACAGAAACACTACAATTAGCAAATCACTCCATTAACCACATATGCGGCTCCGTGAGAACCAGTAAACCAGCGAAAAGAATCTCAAGGATGTTGTGTCGGAAAGACAGAGTCAAGTGTTTATGGAAGAAATGGGGGGGCGCAAAAAGGTAAAAGCACCACTAATTCTTAAACCGGGAGTCGTCTCCGTATTTAGACCAAGACGTCCGGCACCCTATGCAGCGCTACCGATTCTTGAACAAGAATTAGAGCGTCTGCAAAGATGTGGAATAATAGAACCAGTGAATGTTTCTGATTGGACAGCACTAATGATTAAGAAGCCTAGTGGAAGTATCCGGCTATGTGCAGATTATTTGACTGCATTAAACGAAGCACTTGAAGCTCATCAGTACTGTTTGCCGTTACCAGAACTTATTTGCGAAACTGAATAAGAGGAAGTATTTTGCAAAACTGGATCTATCAGAAGCTTATCTACAGATTCCAGTAGCCGAAGAGTACAAACCTTACCTGGCAGTAAACATGTATAAAGGTTTATTCCAGTGTAACCGATTCCCTTTCGGAGTAAGAATCGTTCCTTCAGTCTTCCAACAAGCTATGAACACTATACTGCAAGTTATTCCTGTTACTGCGGCTTATCTCGATGATATACTAATCATAGGTACGAGCTATGGTGAC